CGGGGAGGGAGGGGAAAAATGAGGACCTAATGTCGGGGGTTTAAATGGAGAGAAAATGTTTTGAGAAATGATGTACAAATATGCTTTACACAATTGATGTGTGTATGGATTGGGATAACAGTTGTATGAGCCCCTAATAAAATGTTTAAAAAAAAAAGAAAAAGAAAATTACAAACCATTCCATGGATGACTCTGTCCAGATACTTTCTGATATGACAACAGACTCCATTCAAAATAGAAGGAAGCCACCCCTACTGTTACCACCAGACCAAGTGGAGAACATGACATGGGTCCCGGGTGGCTCAGAGAGGTTCCCTTCAGAGTGCCAGGTCTTCTGAAATGGTCACTCAGGAAAGTACAAACTGCCCGATACATCTGGACGGGACTCTGCTAATAGGAGGAGCAGTCATAATCAACCCAAACCCCAGCCAAGTTCACCACCATTGAGTTGATACCGGTGCATAGCAAGCCCACAGGACAGGGTAGAACTGCCCCTGTGAGTTTCTGAGACCGTATGTAACTCTTCGTGGAAGTAGAAAGACCTATGTTTCTGCCACCGAGCACCTGGGGGTTTCCAACTGCTATCCTAGTGGATTGCGGCCCACACCAGGCTCCTAGCAGCCGTACTACTTCTAAAATCATGGCAAACCAAACACCTGTGAGATCCTTCCCACGGATGACTTCATACAACCATCCGATGAGTTGGGTCTCGTGACTGCCCCATCTCACAGTTGGAGAAACGGACATTTCAGATGTTACCTTAACAGGCTGGGATCGCACAGCTGGTAAGTGCTGGAGCCAGGACTCAAATCCCACCGCCCTCTGCTGCTACTACTACTGCTCACTGTGCATCGTGCTGCACTCAACCGCTCTGAGACCGTTTCCTCGGCTGCAACATGAGGAGAGTATCTGTTTCCATTAAAGATGAGCATATGGCAGACTGTATTCCAAGTTTTGAGAAGAAAAATGATACCCACTTCTCATCACACATACAACTGTAAAATAGTTCTGTAGGAGAACAAAAATTGTTCTTGTAAAACAGATACTATGTCCCAAATGTTAGTGGGAAGTCCTGGAATTCTGGACAGAGAACAATGGGCTATGATTCCTGCGCAGTGGACAAGAGGCAGGCCCTGAACAAGGACTGACAAAGGGCTACAACAATGGGCCCCCGCATAAGAATAACTGTGAGGATGGCACAGGACCGGGCAGGGTCTTCGGCCCTAGGGGTTGGAACATGACCAATGGCCCCTAACAACAACAACAACAACAACATAGCAGAGGAGGAGGAAAAACAAAAGGAGAGGAGAGAAGAACATTTACATGGACATCAACAAATACTAGGGTTAAGTTCACAGATACTAACTGTAACATTGGTAGTCCAAATCCAGCTGCTGGGCCCTAGTGATTGGCTTCCATAAATATTATAGCCAATAAAATATTATTCTGTCACAGGAAGTCTCTCTGAGTCCGAAATGACAGCACCCAACACTGGCAGAAAATTCTGGTATATAGCAGACACTCTGCCATTTGAGAGTGTCATTGGGGTCAAGGTGATTATTGAATACAAGACAATGTGGAAGATGCAGTTACCTGATGGTGACTATGGTATACTTCACAGTTGTTGTTCATGTATTTATTTAAATATATTTTATATAAATAAAAATATACATACGCATACATATATTTAACCACACACTCGGCACATGCTGGGAACTGTTCTGACTATGCCTGAAATATGAGGGTAAGTCCAAAAGTATTGCTACAAAGTTGTAGAAGTCATCATTAAACAAAACTATCAAAATGAGAAGCTACTGTTTGTCAACCTATCCTACACCTAGGTTTATATGCTTCTGAAAGTAGTATTTCCCGCCCCCTAGCCCTTCTTCAAAGAATTCTCCACTCTATGATTTACTGCTGTTTTAGCACCCTCAGTGGACCAAAAACAAACCATGGTCTTCAATGTTCTTGGGTTTGGGCAACAACAAGATATCTGAGGGGGGAGATCAAAGCTGAAGGGTGGGTGGGGTACAGTTTCCTAATGAAATTCTCCAAGGACAGACCTTACTACTCCTGAAAAATGAGCAGGTGCATTGTCGTGATGGGGAAAAAATCAACACAACTTTCCTGGTCTTGTATTCCCCAAGACAGTTTTCCATTTCCTTAAAACTTCTTTTTAGTAAGATCCCACAATCATCCTCTGTGCTTTGAGATAATCTATCAAGGTGACGTTTGGGAATTCCCCACAACAGGTGTTATGTCCTCGTGAGGTAACCTCTCTGCTTTAAATTGAATCGACCCAGCAGACCCCCTTGGAAGTCACTGTTTTCATTGGACCTTGTTCTCTAGATCCTACTGGTAAACCTAAGACTCATTCCCGATTACCAGGCATGCCACGAGCCCCTCTGTTCCCCTCAGTCCTGTTTGAGCAGCAGCAGGACCGCCTCTTTCATCCAGCTTATCTTCCTGCAGTGCTGTCGGCACCCACAGACCCAAAGGTTTGCTGAGGCCGAGATGTTCACTCAAAACTGAAAATGCCAAACCATCTGAGACCCCCAAGCTCATTCGCTAGCACTGCAATGGTCACTCTGGGCAGCGATTCTCAACCTGTGGGTCGCACCCTCTTTGGGGGGTTGAACGACCCTTTCACAGCAGTTGCCCAATTCATAACAGTAGCAAAATTACAGTTACGAAGTAGTAACAAAAATCATTTTATGGTTGGGGGGGTCACCACAACATGAGGAACTGTATAAAGGGTCGTGGCATTAGGAAGGTGGAGAACCACTGCTCTAGGGTCTTGTGGAACTCGACAATCTTCTCTCACTTGTCTCACCTTTTAGGCAGATTACCTCCACCTAAAGACCATTGTCTTATATGAGGTGAAACCCCTGTACACTTGTTGCAAAATTTCAAGGATTTGGAAAGATGTCCACTGTTGTTCTCTTTAACAGCTGATCATAACCCTTATCTCAAAATCATTCTTCTTCCACATCACAAAAGAAGCATCATTTGGGGAGAAGGCACTCTCACAAGACCAGGATGAACACATTACTTAGGATTTGTCTGAAGTCACTCACTGATCACAGGGCATGTCTCAACAAATCGTGCTTGGAATAAACACGTGCATCTATGACCTGAAAGGCTAGTAGCAATACCTTTTGACTTACCCTCATTCAATGGGTAATAAGAGACTTTCCTGGTCCCCAAGGAACTTATTATAGTGGCATTATCTACTGTCCCAGGAAAGTATACAGGAGGTGCTTGGTCAATCATAGCACAACATGGCCAACTTGTGTTCTCTTATGATTCTATGAGCCATTGATGCATCTTCACAATTCTGCTCAACATGAGCACATCTAAATGCCAAGGGTGTGTCTGTCTACTCATCCTGTAGGGTAGCCAAGCCCTTCAGACATCTGACTGATCACGACTCGGAGATTTCTGGCAGCAGGAAATCAGAAGCTCTTGACAATAGCTATTCTGTCTTTTGTTAAAGTCCAAACCCCCTAAAGATATGAGGCTGGGTCGCTCCATGTATGTGGTGGGAGGGTGCTGAGAGAAAACGCAGCACTTCCCAGAGACCCAGAAGAGACTGGAAGTTCACCGGGCCTTGAAATATTGGGAACCCTTTCCTGGGTGACCATGCCCAAGATGCCTCAAAGAGGAGGTTGAGCTCCAAGTCTAAAGGCTCCCAATTCTTCAAAGAGTCAGCTCCCAGCATGTACCAGATGCCCAGCAGGCATACACCGTGAGGGAACCTGTGAGCTAGGGAAGCAAGCAGAGACAGGTGTGGGCTCAGGACCCCAAAGGACTTCCTGCTGCTTCTCCTCTGAAAAGCCCTAAATCATAGGAGGTGGAGATGGGGCGCCTCAGTAAGAACTGCCATTGAACTCCTAACAGCTTGGCACCGTTGGGACTGAGAGTTAGTTCTAAGTTGATTTGGTGAAGAAACAGAAAAGAAAATGGGAATGGTGGCAGATAATTCTTATCCCCAAATCCTTCTCACGGGCGCACCCTTGGGACTGATGGTGAGAAAAGCCCCTGAGAAAGACACAGCTTCCTGAGGGCATTCAGGTGCAAGTGGCCGGGGGGTGGGGGTGGGAGTTTTGAGCAGCTCAGGGCACTAAGAGCCGCAAGCACAGAAGAGCTGCTGACTCCGGTAGACTTCTGGCTTAACCAGAGCACACCACATCCCGTGGGTCACATCTGTCAAGAACAGGGATTAACTGGAATGAAACAGGACCATGGGGATGTGTGTTTTCTACCTGATGAACTCATGACATAAGCCAACAGGAAACGATGGATCCTCATTTGATAACTCCTCCTGTAGCTGCAGAAATCTGAGCTTACAAATTCCATCGATGCAAAATAATAGAATTTGTCTCCCCCTACTGAAGCCCCAACTGGCAGACTCAGCAGCCTAGGGCCCCAGCCTGAGGCACCTCCCTCCATGTAAGTAGATAGAGCAGGGCGTGGGCAGACGCTGGCCCCATGCAGACAGTCCTGCCCCACTCCTGGGCCCCAGGTCCCCCAGCCATAGTCTCAATGTCGGGCCCCATGGGACAACAGAACACAATGTGGGTGAGCACCTCAGCTGAAGGAGGGGACAGTACAGTGAGGCGGGAGCGGGGGGAACCTGCTGGCTCTGATCGCACCTCCACGGGGCCTTCCCAGATGAAAGGAGGCGAGGCGCTCACCCCGACATCCCACGGACCACATGCACACACAGAGGCCAGGAGAGGTTGAGATTCAATTTCTGTCATCATTTTCCTTCAGTTCTTTCATAAGCTGCCAGCACCTGTCCCATCACAGATAGGGTCTTTATTCAGGGCCAAGGGATCTATTTCTCCCCTTGCCCCCCTGACTCAAGATCAGCGAGGAGTCTCTAGGGTGGCCCGGGACACTGGGTGGGAGGGATGCTTTACAAAGCATGGGGCCCAGGGCTGCTTCTAACTCATCTTCCTGAGGAAGAGCCAGGGCCTGCAAAACGTGTGGCCCTGACAAAGAAGAGCATCTCTCTTTAATAGATAGGAACTACTTATCAATCAGAAAGAAAACTCAAATGCCTGCCAGGTGAGGACATCACAGCTCAGCCACCTGGAAGCGTGCGTACCTCATGGGGGTCTCCAGCCACGACACCTCCAACTTCCCTGAAACCCAAGGGAAGAAGGAGTAAGCACAATGCGCACCTCGGGGCTAGGTTCTTTGGGGGGAATCTGACCCTTCTAAGGGAATGGCTGCCCAGGCAATGTCTTCCATTCCTACCAACACTAAGCTGCACACACTGAAACTTTAACAGGCACCCTCTCCTCCACCCCCTTTGCCTCCCCACCTTCCTCCCTACCCTCAGTTTGTTTGCACCAGAGACAAACCAGATGCCATCATTTCGATTCTGGCTCATGCCAACCCTCTGTGTGCCAGGGTAGAACTATGCGCCATAGGGTTTTCAATACTGGTTTTTCAGAAGTAGATCACCAGGCCTTTCTTCTGAGGTGCTGCTGAGCAAACAGGAACCTCCAAGCATTCCGTTAGTAGCTAGATGTGTTATTTGTACCCCACCCCCTCAAGGGACTCCTCACCAGAGACAAGAGCTTTCAGTTTGGCCTTTCGTGCATTCTAGGACTTGCAACCCGGTGAACCAGTGTCCTGGGAATTTCTCCCCATCGTGTCCCAATTATCGGTCTTCCCCAGGCACCAGCACCCACCCACCCACCCACCAGCCTGCACCCTTGGAAACCCAGTGGCATGAAGCCCTGTTGGGATGAGTTAGCAAGCTCATGCACAAATATATGCCCGCATGTGAGTAGGAGGGGGCCACATGATCGTGGGCACGTATGTACATGCATAGTGGTGAGTGCTCACATGCATATATATGGATGTGTGCCTGCATGGGTATAACACAAGGAGGAAGTGGGGCAGCCATTTAGAGCTTACTCCCTGAACCTCTACACGCACCCTTGCTGGGTGGAAGACCCTCTAACCAGATTGCAACTGGTGCCAATGTCACCCAGCCTTGACCTTTAAGCAAACAAAAAACTTTACCCTCAAGAAAGTTCCACACCAAAGCAGTGGGGACAGGAGGAGACACCCAGGTAGGGGACACTCGGGACCTGTGGTGTCCTGCTGTTCAGGGAGGGATGCAGGCAGGTCCTGAGCCTGTACCCAGTCACCCAGCTCCACACCCCACCACACCACACCCCGTGGGGGCCAAGGGGCACGCACAGAGCCGCCGCCTTCTTCTCCGTGAACACCCGCAGGCAGAACTCGCCGTCCTTGAAAGGCTCGAAGGTGGACGGCACCACCAAGTACTCCCCCGGGGGCAGCCGGGCCCGGCCACAGACCTCCCGCAGGTTGACGTAGGTGCTGGAGCGGGCAGAAGGCTGGAGGCCCAGGAAGAAGTCCCGGCCCAGGTGTGCATCAGTGTGGCCCTCCAGCTGCGCACAGTGAGAGTCAAAGTCAGTGTCTCCTTTTCTTCTGGAAGATGTGGGCGGAAGAATTCTGCTTTATGCCGCCAGCGTAGGGCCCACTCGTTTGGAACACGGGGCTTAGTGTCCTGCCTGCGCTCCCACCGGGGGCTTTGGGGGTAACTGGCTGTGCAGGCACCTTCTCTATGCCAGGCCCTCTTGGACCCACTGCCACTGGCTGTGCCCACATCTCTTACTCCATACTTGACACTGACCTCCCAGGGTGTGAGGGGGAGAGTTGGGGGCATCATTGACATCCGAAGGCTGGGGGTGGGGGGTGGCATTGACCTCCCAAGGGGGAAGTTGGGCTGTGGCAGTGACCTTCCAGGATAGGGGTGAAGAGGAAACTTAACCTCCAAGTGATGGGGGTGGCATGGGTGTTGGTGGTGGCTGGTGTTGCTGGGGGTGACACTGACCTCCGTGGGAGTTAGAGTTGTGGCCAACATGGAGCCCCCCAGGACAGGCCTGAGGTGGAAACCCTAGCCCTACAGGCCAAAGCCGCTAATGGACCCTCTCACCTGTGGCTATTTGAACAGAGTGCTCTGCTCTGCACGGACAGGACACGTGGGGGATCATGCGGGGAAGCCACAGTGGTAGCTCTTAAGGAGGCAGACCAAGGGGCCAGCTATAGTCTGGCCTGGCTCTGGGTCCCACCTTGCTCCCTCAGGGCCTGGGTTCTCCTTGGAGGGTGCAGCTGTGCCCCATGAGCTAGCTCCTTACTGTGGGGTGTGAGAAGCTGTCAGTATTTGAGGCAAGCTAATTAGCAACTGCAGGTGCTGCAGAAACACCGTTGCCGGTGTTATTGTTGTAATGAAGCTGCTGCCACACTCATTTTCCTGATCCATCCTCGCCACAACCGCAGGCAGGTGCTGATAAGCACAGGACTCTGACTTGTGTGTGACCCAGACCCAGGAGTCCCTCGGCTGGCTAAAGAACCTGCAGGGGTTCAGTGTCACACTGTTGGCCCCATGCTCTAACCCGCTCAGAAATCATTCACTGCCATCAGTTTGATGCCGACTCATAGCAACCCTGTAGGATAGGGCAGCACTGCCCCTGTGAGTTTGGGGACTGTAAATCTGTATAGGAGTAGAAAGCCACCTTTCTCCTGAGGAGCTGGCTGGTGGTTTTAAACGGCTGGCCTTTCAGTCGCAGCCCGATGCTTAACCACTACGCCACCTTAAGAAATGACTGAGGAGCCCAAAGGATAAAGTTGGCGCTTCCTACTCTTATGAGAGCTCAGGGCACTTTTCCTCACTGCTCAGATAAGTAGGAGCATCAGGATGGCACACGTGGTCCGCCCAGCAGAAGGCCAAGGTTGCCTTTCCCCGCTTGGTGGGGGCCCGTCAGGGGGAACTCCGATTTGTCTGTAAAAGAAGGGCTCGCAGCCTCATGGGTCATGCCAGACTCTGGCTGTGGGAGGAGGGACTTCCACATCAGAGGAAGCAGAGGCTGCTGTGCCCACCCCAAGGCAGCCACACTTACCAGTTGACGGGCCCAAACCAAAGGGAAGACATCTGGGAGCGCACACATACCTCTTTGGGAACCTGCAAGGCAGAAGAAAGGAGCAGGTCATCTGAGAGCTCAGGGGCCGCCTCTTTGTGCCTTTGCCTCCCACCCTCACATCCTGCAGAGGAAGGTACCGTCCTGCACCCACTACCCCACCGCAGGGGAGGCAGTCCGTGCTGCCGGGAGAGATGAGGCAGCATTTCTGAAACTGGAAAGTCATTGGTGAATTTCAAGACCAGGTGGGGAGTCCTAAGCCCTAGAAATCTGGGGGCAGGGGAGAGTTTGACTTTTTTTACTTTATCCATGCATAATTGAGAACCCCAACTTCTTTAGGGGCGATAACCTTGGCGCTTAAGGAGAGGTAACATATTTGACTCACCTACTTTGGACAGGTCCTTAGCAAAAACCAATTGCAAGAAAAAAGTAAGGGTTTCCATCTGGTCTGCAAAGATGCAGGAAATGCTACGTGCGGTGCATTGGGACAACAGCGGGCTCCAGCATGTCAACAACCAGGACGGTGGCTTGGGACCAGGCAACGCTTATGATTCTGTTGTACGTAAGCCGTGAGCTGGGGCTGACTACAGCCAACGACCATCCCTTCCAGACCTGACCTCCCACATCCAGGGCTTGGCCCGAGGAGGGAACTGCACCCTCGCTGAGGGAGAACCCACTCGAGAGCAGTGGGTTGGGTTTGGCGTTCTGGTGGGCCACAGTGGACTCTGCCCTTGGCGACAGCGATTGGTCCAAGATCTGGCCAAGCTGAGTCTGCCAGAAGCTGCTGTAGGATTCCTGGTGGAAACTAGAGGGAGAGCCAGGATCCCTGAGGGTGTAGTGCAGGGCTCCTCAGACTTTTTAAACAGGGGGCCAGTTCACTGCCCCTCAGACCTTTGGAGGGCCAGACTATAGTTTAAAAAAAAATCTAGGAACAAATTCCTATGCACACTGGACGAGTCGGCTGCTAAGCAGGACAGGCAGCGGCGGC